CACCACCATTGAAACGCAGGAAAGGAACAATCTCCCTCTGCTCTTTGACATTCTCCAAGTAACGTTGAGCACGTCTCAGAGGCATGTTGCGGAGAGCCATAGCTGTCTCGTGGGTGTTCTTGAAATGAACACGGAGATCCGATCCACGGGCTTTGCACGATTTCGTGCTATTATCAGGATTCTTGGTGTAATGAATCTTCGTCATGGCACCCGGAGGATTACCTGAAAATGGATAGGTCAGAAATCTGGAGCTGAAAATGATACATGGCACGGTGGCGCGATTATGACGAAGTGAACCGAAGTTAACTAGCTAATGAAAATTTACCAGCAAACCTATAGCGGACGCACGGCGCCAAAGAAAAATAATCCAACCTGCTACAAATTTCAATGGTCGAGCCATACGAAAAGTCCAAGTACAGTTTTCCCTAACAAGTTAATCGGAAAACATGCAAGCATTCACAATGCCGTATTCCAAGGCTTTTTCGTTAGTTCGGAAATTGGCGCTAGCGATAAAGAATAAATGGGCATTCAACCTTCTAGTGCTAGATCCAGCGATGCAGACCAATTAAAAAGGAGTAAAACCAAATGTATATAAGGTACATGTGCACACAGATTCATTTCGTCGTCTCCCTCATACTTTGGGGTCGCGAACTGTCACGAAAAGAAATGTACAAAAAACTCAAAGAAGGGCTCACAGTCGCTTCCCTAGATACCTTACAGACCATATAAAAAACAGAAATGTAGAAGTTCTCCTTGGTAAGAAATGTCGCTATAGCCAGGCAAAGTTGGAAACTAGCCCATAAAAAAGCAGACCGTAGACTCTAGAGGTTGATTATCGAAATCAAAAGCATAAAAGAACCGATTAACCATTAAATCCTTCTTAGATGATTGAAAATATGACCGTGGCCTAAATTTTTGTGAAAAGTCGTCCCAGCTGCGATGAACGGCAAGAGGTCCCGATACGAATGGACTGAGTATCAGCCTGGGCCCTTTGCCAAGTGCGATCAATAAACACATTGGGTGATGATGTTCCAACTTCAAACTGCTATTAATTGCTTCGAGAACTGCTTTTACCTTGATATGTACGCCACAGAAGTAGAGCATTACATTTTCTGTTTGTGTGATAGGAGGAAACTGCTATCGACTCAAGGGTATTATGAATTTCAACACCATGTCTACAAGTAGTACAGCTCACGCAATGGTTAATTTGGAAATTGGGAACGCATTTCAACCAATATGAACGACTGCTCAAAATATTCGGATGAGGAAAAATTTTCTTATTGTTTTCCTCCGATTTTTCCGCACATTTCTGTGGTTCAACACGTCATTTAATGTTTTCCATGCTTATCGATCCTTCGAATTGCTGTGAATTATGAACACATTCTTGTTTTGATCGTGTTCACTTAGAGGAAACCTTGGAGAGTTGGCTTGGCAGAGCTAATAATTTGTCCATGAAATGTTGCATGAGCTTTAAACCAGAATATTTCTTTTGAAGTGAGGTTCATTTGTGAAAATGCTCTTTCCGCAACCATGTTTTTTTCAAATAATTGCTTTCTGCCTTTGAGAGGCGCTATAAGGGCTTGAATCAGATACTTTTGAACCACGTCTGAGTGTAGTTGCCCGTTTACACTGAACTTACTCGATTTGCGGTAATATCTCCGAGATGGGGTCAGCGTATTTACACGTTGGCTGCTACTTATTATATCCTATCTGATCTGCTGGCTTCATCTATAGCTTCTCTATTTGTTGAACCTTTTCTACTTATTTCTGGAGATAGCTGACTCCATGAACTGTAAGGTTATATTTCCTCTAGTCCTTTGAAACTCTGTGTCGTTTCGGGAACATCTCCTAAAGCATCGAATCGCCTATCCTTCACCTCTCCCATTTTCTCGTGGTAGAGTATCGATACAGCATAATGTCCGAAATACTGTTTTATTTGGAAAGCGAAACGTAGTTTTGTGACACTGATCATGGGGTGGTTTGAGTAGTCTGGTTGAGCTAAGGAGAATGAGGGGCGTATCGCCAGTTTTTTTACAGTCTCATCATTGGGCTGTGGGTGTGGCAGTGCGCGTTGTCGTTTGTGCGGTCGCGCAAAATCGTTCTGCCGCAGTTCTATGAGGCGGCATGCAATTGCTGTATTATTCTGTATTACTCGTTTTCTACGCAGCTTTTTGTCGCATACGTGTATTGGAAAAGGCTGAGAAAGGCTACGAATAATGTTGGCTGGCGTCGTTCTGAGTGACACGCCCCATCGTCTGCAATGATGAGGACTGTACGTATGGCAAGCTGTCATACTCATTCTCCACCACTTGTTGAAGCGGGTAAGTGTCAACAGCTGGTCGAAAATGACTGATAAGAAACAAGTGATGCTGTTTTTTGCTGGTCCAAAAGAAAAAAACGGAATCGCGACGCCTGAAACCCGTCCCTCATTGACACGCCCCATCATCCGCAGCGAACAAGACTGTATACTGGATGCCGTCGTTCTGAAGACAACTACTTCCTCGTGCAGTGTGCTTGTTATGAGAGAATATAGATTGCTTCCCACTTCTTTAACGCATTTCTCATAACGTATGTTGGTATTTCATCATCTGGCTTCGCATAATGTAATTGTTATCGTAATGGATTACCTTTCTGGACAAATTTCAAGTTATATTTTTTCAGATGATCAAAGCGATTTTGGTAATTAATAACCATGGCAAACCTCGCCTACTCAAATTCTACCAGTATTACACTGAGGAAATGCAACAGCAGATTGTCCGTGAGACGTTTCAGTTGGTATCGAAACGTGATGACAACGTTTGCAACTTCTTGGAAGGAGGAACTTTAATTGATGGCAATGATTACCGACTTATTTATCGCCACTATGCTACGTTGTATTTTATATTCTGCGTCGATTCATCTGAAAGTGAACTGGGTATTTTGGATTTAATCCAAGTGTTTGTCGAAACCTTAGACAGATGCTTTGAAAATGTGTGCGAATTGGATTTGATCTTCCATGTTGATAAAGTTCACCATATACTTGGTGAAATCGTTATGGGTGGAATGGTATTGGAGACGAATATGAACGAGATACTGCTCAGGATCCAGGAACAGGAAAAATTGCAGAAGGCAGAGGCTGGAATAGCTGCTGCTCCGGCAAGGGCCGTTTCGGCTGTGAAAAGTATGAACCTCCCACAACAGCTCAAGGATATCAAACTTCCGGACTTGCCATCACTTTCTAATCTGAAGAATGCATTTTGATGTGATTATGGGACTCTTGTGATGAATTCTGTTCACTATACTTTTATGTTGATCTCATGGTGGTTCTTCTAATCCTTTTTAGCATAAATTTTCCTTTTACCTTATTTGCTCTACTTTGTGATCGCTTCTCGTTGTGGTTTTTCTGTAATTCACGTGTTATTTTTGCTAGAGAAATAAATATTTATAGATACACCCATGTAGCTGAGAACGTAGCATGTCTCTCCCATTCAATTCAGCGTCAACCGGTTACGGTGGAGCGGAAACGCATGGTTCACCTTTGTCAGGTGTGTAGTTAATGTATGACATTTATAAAGGTAATAGTGATTCAAGACAGAGCAAGATTAGAGGTTTCGGGCGCAGTTCAGCTCAGGGAGTGTTGGCAGAGCTTTGCCCAAGCCTTCTGTGAAATCCTGAGGTAACTACGAAATGTTGAGTGCTCCAATTCTGACCTTTTTTTGCCCAGTCCTTTCACCTACCACGAAACGTTTTCTTTTGGGCAATGCAAATATCCTTGCTACCCCACTAGTACTGGTTCCTTTGCACCTTCACCAGCCTTCAGACTTCGCGATCATGCGCATCGAGGCACTACAATTGCAACAGCGCCCCAAACCTATACACGTGAACGTGGCGTAGAAGAGAATTGATCGGGCCGTCCTGGGGCCTGTGTTACACTTGCCCCAAAAGGGGAGACATCCCCAGAAAACTTCTTCACTCTGCCGCTGTCTCCTCCTCGTCTCCCCGCTGCTGCCTCTCCGCATCTTTGCTCTTCCCACTCTCGCGAAATCTCCCCCAACGACATTCGCTGGGGGAGAGGGGAGCATATCGATTATACTCTGCGCTGCACTATATTCGCACAGAGCGTGCGCCAGAAGAGTATGGATGCAGAGCGGTGAGAGCCAGAGAGACGAGGGGCATCACTAGTGATAACGTCAGAAGGTGGAGGTTTACTGGGGGATATCCCCTCGTGGGGACGTATAACATAGGCCCCTGGTGGCCAGGTCGATCGATACCACCCTGGATTAACATTAAGGATTGTTGATTGATCAAGTCCTGTTTCTCACATCTTCTCTCAATATTTGAGCGGGCGGTGCTGATCGATTCTTGTGTTCGCGTCTATAGCCTCCGAGCGCTGTTTCCATTGCGACGCGTTACAGCGCGTCGTCGCGAACTTTGAACGCTGCCTGCCGCTACATGCGGTTCAATTTGAAAGAAAACAAAAAAGGCGCGGGATCGATTCCCTAACACCTTGTGGCTTCCAATAGTTAGCAGTTCTTCACGAAATGGCTTGACATCTAGGTAGAAATCCATTGTCTGACTTCATTCCTGGTCACCAAGCCATGATGTGCCCAATTTCACCCGTGCCCACCAGACTGACATAACCCAGGTGCGGTTCAGTGTGAAGTTCAGTCACATGAGCTTTGAGTCAATTTGGTATTCTTAGTTTCTCACCATACATACCGTTAAGCTCAATTAGGCGCGTATTCACAAGCTTTGCCGTAGCATGTTCACTGGGGAAATCTCTTTACCCTTGATCGCGCAAGTAAACACCGCGCTCTGAATCACAGCGGGGCTATTTGGTCATGTTGTATAGATATGTTCATACTCAATTATTTTCTACTTACAGAGAGGAACTTTTCACGTGGTTCTCCCATCACTGTTCCGGGTCGCTTTTCCCAGCCGGACTTACGATGTTGGGATCCTGGTGTGCCGTTCTTCCCGGAACTAGGCGCATTTTCTGATGTGAGTCGCACCGTTTCTATAACTTCTAAAGCTTGCAAATATAGATAAATAAGCATATGTGAAGCTTATGCTCAGGACCGTCCACTCTTAGATAAGCCGTGCATTTGGTGTCTGTCTAGAATTCCAAGTGATATGAGAGTGTTTGTTCACTCACACAGATTGATGAAAACGGGCGATATCTAGGAGTGTAATAATTGTTTGAGTTATTGCGTGGACGTCGAAACAATCGTGAGGTTTTGAATACTAAGCTATTTTCAGTCAGAGCTCAGTCGACCAGCTTTTTGTTGCAGAAGGTATTGGTTTCATAGTTTAGTCTTAATACCGCTTCCTTCCGTAACTTACTTCAGTCGAGTCGAGCCAGGTTCGATTAGGTGAATTCGTTTGAAGCATGAAGCACATCATACTTCAGGACCTGATGGCTCGTAGTCCTTATTCGCAACTTATCCGATCAGGTACTCCATGAAACTAGGCTGGTTGCAGCACATATGAAGAGCTTCAAATTGAAAACATTCCGACAAAGATACCAAGGTTGCACGAGTTTAAAGTCCCGTATTGGAAACGAGGGGATTAGTGAACCATTTTGACCCCCAAAGCGCGCTGATTTCACAGACCACACAAAGGAACGAAAGGCAGGAAATCACTTGTGATGGCCTACGAGAACAATATCGGTTTTAGAAAGGCCTTGGGTGTCTCACACAGAGAAGTCCGAGGCCGAACAAGCAAAAAGAGTGCAGGACCACTACACGTGATTTCCTGCTTTACATTGTTTTGTGAGGTTTATGAAATCATACACCTTGCTCGCATGACGTCTTGGGTACCAGCGGTAGTTCACCTATCCCTTGTTGTTCACGGTTCCGAAGCAATGAAAAACCACCGAAGGTTGTTCTTTTTGCCGAAAGGTTTCTTATTTAGGGCTCCTGGTCTAATAACAACTGGTCTAGTATGATGGGGCGCTTCATCGAGTAAGTTAGGCAGCGTTCAGACTTCGCGACGGCAGCGCTTCGGTCGCGCATTCGACGCGATCGATGCGCATGCTTTCGACTGCATCGAACGCGCGACCGAAGCGCTGCCGTCGCGAAGTCTGAACGCTGCCTTATGATTAAGGACTAGGAGCCATTCTCGAACCCTAAAAACGACGATTTGCTAGAAACTTCGCCCAGTCAAGCAAAGTCACCATTCATTAACAAACCTGATCGGCATAAAAAGATAGAAACATGGTGAAGGTTTTCTAATTAGGAGTGCAAAGAAGAAGAGGATTAGTGCTTTGCCGCCTCACTCAGTCTTTTCAGTTCATCGAACAAGCGGCGTTCGAAGAACTACAACCCTGCGAAGTGGTCGCTCAAGTTGAGACTGTTATCCGTTCAGGTTTGTTAGCCGCTTTTCCCACGAAAGCTAGGGTTTTTGAACATTTATTCGATTCTCAATCTTGATATCAAGTGAGTTTTCAGATCCCATCCACATTTCTCTTCATGACAATCCCATCTATGATAACAATGAGATTCAGTTCCCAGCAGAATCTCTTCCACCACCAGTGGCAAAAGTTTCTTTGGAACCAGTACAGCAGCTTGTGGATAATCAGCAAATAGTCGATAGCACTGAGCAGGATATTGGTGTATATGTGAGTTCCCAATTTTCTTCACTGACAGCGCTATCTTGTGGTCAGTATTATGTGATGTAGTTAAGGAAGAAATAACACATGCACGATGTATAGACTGTGACAAGATTGTCGATGCTCGTGAAAAGACTCACACAAAAGCTTGTTGTAAATTGAAAAAGCTTCACAGGTTTGTTGGTCCTTCCTTTATTACTCTTTCAAGAGAAACCCTACGATTGTATATTGTGGATAATGGCGTTCAATTAGAGACCTATAGTCACTAAATGACCTTCGAGGGAAGAAAAATAAGCAAAAAAACACTCATGGAAAACACAGAGACTTGGCAGCCTCTGTGGACGAGTTCTCTGGACCTGCTCGTTTTATGCCAACAAGGCGTTACTCGGCCCTGGCTCGCCTACCATCTCTTCGCTTCATCCAGTATAGTACCATCTAACAGTGAAAGAGGAAAAGAAAACTGAACCCCTGCTAGAGATTGCCTTTAATTCCGGTGGGCGGGACAGCTAGAGAAGCATAGAACTGCTACTGGACCACAGCACCTTTTTTACTTAATGTGAAGCCGCGAAAGTGGGCAAGACAGAGAGTGAGAGCCGGACTACTTGTAAAAGAAAGACCGCCTACGAATTGCTTGAGCGTGGAAACTGTCTTTGATGATTTGTTATCGTCTTGTTGAAAGTAACAAAACCAGTAAAGGAACAATAAAAATCTCCGATATGCAGCACGGAGCACAGAATAGAGTAGGGAGGACGTAACAAAGACCTGCGGTGAAAGGAGGCCAGTTCCTCCGCTAGGAAGGTTGCGTCTTTTATCTGTGGAGAATCCGTTGAATCTGTGACCCGAACGAACAGTGAATGAATCACGATTGAGTCTTGAGTCGATCGATTCCCGTCAAATCCTTTTAGTGCGTTCAAGTGTGCGCATTCTTCGGAATGGCGTACCCCTCCATCTTCGACGTGGGGGATTCTAGAGATTCGGAAAGCTTGAACGTGACTGACCTCATGGATACATTGACTCCCGCGCAGTTGTAAACGCCCCCTCCGCCTCTTCTTCCAAGCATCCTTACCTCATCATCCTTTAATCACTATAAAGGAGATTGCATTTGGCTGCTGGGAGAGGATCGTATTCAGTTTTGAAAAGAGAACTTCTCCAATTGTTGATCATTTCTGGGTGTGGAACGCCACTTCGAAGTCGGGGCATCGCGCGCATGAGCTTGTGTTTCGTAGCTAGTTTGCTTGATAGGCACAGACTCATAGAGAGTTAATCGACTCCAGGGACGCAAACGCAGCGAGAGCCGACGCGCTGCAGTACGGCTGCGTTGAGTGGATTCCGTCCTGGGACCGTATGCTATACTTCCCCTTAAGGGGAGATATCCCCTTGTAAACCTCCACTCTCTGCCGTTTTCCCTACTGGTGCCCCTCGTCTCTCTGGCTCTCGCCGCTCTGCATCCATACTCTTCTGGCGCACGCTCTGTGCGAATATAGTACAGCGCAGAGTATAATCAATATTCTCCCCTGTCCCCCAGCACATGTCGTTGGGGGACGTTTCGCGAAAGTGGGGGAGCAAAGATGCAGAGAGGCAGATGCAGAGAGACGAGGGGCATCGATAGAGATAACGGCAGAGAGCGGAGGTTTGCTGGGGATATGTCCCCTCGAGGGGAAGTATAGCATACGGCCCCTAGTGCGAATGCTGTACCTTGCTTGCAACGCCCATTTCGACGTCCTCGCCGTGAGTCGGAAGTGAGGCTGCGTTCATCCTTTGCGTCAGCGTACGCCAGCGCCAGCGACTAGGGAAGTAAAGATGTCGACCTAGCAGACCAGCGTCTGGAGGGACTAAAGGAGTATGGGTATCGATTTCCAACGCGCACAGCAGCGTCTTTGCGGCACTTTAAACTTAAGCGAGGTATACCTGCGGAGACGGTGTCATGCGCTGGCGCAGAGTATAATATGAACGCAGCCTACGTGCTGCGCGTTCCCCACTTCGCTCAGCAGCAAGAAATTAGATTTTGGTAAGATAGCAGATAGGTCTTGAAGGGAGTCCTACCGATGTAGAGAGTCCGAATGGAAGGATTGTAAAGGGGGAAAGGGAATGGAGGGCTCCCCAAAAATTTTCCA